TCTCTCTCTCTCTTACTTCTCTCTCTCTCTCTCTCTCTCTCTCTCTCTCTCTCTCACACCACAGCACACACACACACACACATATAGAGTAACTATCCAGACCTGATAGAATATTAAAATAGGGATTTAGATGACCTACACTCAAGTGTAAAATCAGAGAATTGACTGTCAAGGAAACTCAATTTTCTTCTTTCCTTCTTGGAACTAGGAAATTTTACATTGCTAAAACAATCTAAGTTTCCTGGTGGTATTTTCTCCTTTTTATCTTACTTTTGACAGTCAAAATCCCAAAGTAAAAAAAATAAGGTAAAATTTCTACTTGCTTCTTTCCTGGTATTTGAAGGAGATGTTTTAAACGCCCATTGTCTCAGCGGGGCAGTATTCCAAGGTGGTCTGTCTGTCAGGCTGGTTTGACTGTTACTAGTAAAAGCTGTTCCTCACTGTTTTAGTCCTCCTTCTATCTATAATCATAGGGAGAGCCTTACTGTTGATTGATCAAATAAATATTTTTGGTTATATTTTCATTAGGGAAAATATAAGTTTATGTTGAATTACTGAATCAAAACATGAAATTGATTGATAATTTTGCTTAATTTCTTTTCACTTTTGTGATTAGAACTACTATCCCTTACTTTTCTTGATCCCACAAACACCTTGATTTTGTTAATATTTCTTTTTTTTCCTACATTTTTGTCACATCTGTACAAGTTATTTTCAAACTTCAAAACAAACCTATGCCTGTGAATTCTGTGAAAATTAAAAAAGGTTTTCAGTAATGTCTCTTGGAAACTAAATGCTAATTCCCACATTACAATAAGAAATCTCAAATGATTTAGGATCTACAGAAAATAAATACAAGCATAGAAGATTCTCTGCTCTGAATATGCTAGTTTAGAAATGTCTAGTCACTTAATCCAAGTTCAAGGAGAAATTTTCTGTTCCAATTTCTAAGTTCTACAGTGAATCCAATTCCATGTGAGTTAATTTATAGGGGATAAAACTCCAGTCATTGGGGATCATATGAGTACCATGAAAAGAAAAGTTAATCTGGAATAATACCTGATTAGTGATAATTTTTTAACCAAGGATTATAGGTTATACTTGTGTCAAAGCTTTTAGGAATTTTTTCTGTGGTTCTATAATGTTGGGGGAAGACTGTGAACCTATCTTTTCTTCTCCCCATACCTTCCCATTTCCAAGATCAGTAGGTAAATAAGCCTCCCATTCATTGTGTCTGAGACTACATTTTCAAACCAGTGTGAAGGGACCAAAAACTTGGGCAAAATAATTGCACACAAAGAACACTGTCATGATCACTAAATAGACACAGCGAAATTAATCAGTCAGACCCACCATGGCAGCAAGTTCACCTTAGTTATTTGAGGAAATCAGAGCCATTTATTCAACAAATATTTATGGAAGGCCTATTTTATGTCAAGCCACTTGCTAACTCCTGGGGCTACAAAATCTGACGTGTCCTGTCCTCATTGGGTTTTCTATATATCGGGAAACACAGGTGAATTGTCTGACAGTCAGGGTCACCCTGTAATCCCCATTAGGAGGTAGGAAAAGTGAGACTTCTGAAGTCAGATTGAATTAGGTTCAAATGTTCCCTCCGCCACTCACTGGATGTGTTACTTTTCGAAAGTTACTTAAACGCTTCAAGCTCTAACTTTTACAACAGTAAGATAAGAATAATCATACTCTACAGAAGTATTATGGAAAATCTATTTAGGCAATAAATGTTTCTTGACATGTACAATGTGCTGGATACTGCTCTAGGTTTTGGACTATATTATAAACACAGCAAAAAAAATCCCTGCCCTTATGAAACTTATATTTCAAGAATATCACCTGCCACTGTTCAGTAACAACAGCTACTGACATATTGCTGTTATAATATATTTAATAAATGTTATTCAGAGGGAATTACCAAGAAAAAAACATTTGCCCTCTCGGATTTTACAATGAACAATTCATGAGACAAATGCAGACTGAAAATAGGGCACCTAAAAATACAAAACACAGAGGAAGCAATATACCCCAGGTTGAAATGTATCCACTTCAAATAAACGCCGGGAGTATGAATGTGAGTGCAGTTCTAGGATTAATATTCAATTACGGAGGAATGGCCAGAAGAATTCAATCTGAGCTTGTGCTGTTAAAAGGAAGCTCCTGTTGCCCTTCTCAGCCTAGAAAGGCCAGTCAAACCATGTTTCAGTCTGTACCAGAGCCTGCACGTGGGTCTAAAAGCCCAGGTTCCCTCTCACCTCTGCTGACCTGGCTGCTGCCACGGCTATGAATCCAGCTGGTCAGCCGTAGAGCCTGACACCAAGTCTTCAGTATGACAGCACCCTCCTAGGAGACCAACCAGCCACTGTAATAGAAAATTGGTTATTTGAAATCTTTTCTACTCCAGAAGGGCAGCAATTCTTTCTTTTACCGAATCGGTACCTATCCTGGGTACAAGTTTGTCCCTGTGTGCAGGCCCTTGATAGCAGCACTGTGTGAATGCTTATAGGGTGTCCAATTTATCATCATGGCACCCTCCTAACGTCACCACAGGCCAAGGGACCCACAGGAAAGGTGGTGCAATGAGGAGCACACACACACACCCTCTGGTTCATATACATGCATCTTATTACTCAAAAGTTGACTTCTTGATTTCATGCTGTAATGACACACTGAGATTCCAGCTTTTACACGTGCAGCGCTGTCCTGCAAAGTTCAGGTTTGATATACATCAAACCAATGGCTAGTTTATAGTGTTATGTCCCTGCTAGTGAGGTCTGGGAACCAAAGGGTAGAAACAGTAGTGGCTTACCTAAATGTCACTTCTGGTCCCACAATTTTTGGCTTTGCTTGTCTAGAGATTATGGTTCCTGGCAGTGGAGAAGGGGTTACCTCTATCAGGGGCACAGTAAGGTGTCCACTAAATCTTAATAAATGTTTTACACCTGGCAATTATTGAGTTCCTCATGCCAGAAGGCAAAAAAATAAGAACAGTAATAATTTCTATATGTGTACATACTATCCCAGGAGTAATTAAGCTTGATTATCTTGAGAAGACAGAGTTGCTGTGACACACGGGCAGAACGTCTGGGACTTGGCAGATTCATTGGCCTACCTCTGCATACTTCCACATGCAGGACAACTCTTAGGAGGCAACTGGAGCAACCACTGCCCCAACAAGGGTGCAGAAACCAGGATGTCAGGTCCCTCGGGAGTAAAGATCTGAGTTATCTCACTGGCCAAGCAGAGCAGATCAACAGAAATGCTGGCCGAGAATGAGGAATATACAGAATGGCGGGTAAATGAAAAGGACGATGAGTATCACTTGTGGCCTCAGCATCAGCTGCAGCCCCAGAGAGTGTAGCTTATCCTACCGGCCTTCCCATTGTAAATCGTTGCTGACAGAAGTTCTGAGTGTCCACCACCTTGAAGAAGCTCTGGCAGGACACAGTGAAACTTAAAGGAACAGGAGTAGATCTAAACGGTGAAGGGGATAGAATGCAGAATGTAGGTTGTCACGTGTATCTCCTACTCCAAGCCCAGTTCCTGACATAGAAATGCTAGCCTATTAGTATTTGTCAAATATTAATAATCTTCCTTCTACAGGTAGAATTATGTAAAGGATCATTTCAGGAGGCAACTATTGTAAGCTCCTGGAGGTCAGAAGTAGCTGTCTTTTCTTCTTTGTACCCTCTTGACCCTGTGTGTTCCATAGTCACCTTCCAGGACACCCAGAGGTAAGATGCCATCACAGAAATTAAATCCCCTTTCCCATATTACTATGGAACAAGCTAAATGTATAAACATGGGAGAAATTCTGGGGGATGTTCTCCATTTATCAATATTTATTGGAATTTGTGATAGAAAGAGAAAAGAAAGATGTAGAAAGCTTTATGTACCTAGGAATTAAATGAAACAGACCTTAAAAACCACCCATAACAACCACTGACTTAGAGGACAGAGAACAAGCACTGGAGCAGAGAGACCCAGCTGACAGGGAGCCAGGGTGATGAGGGTTCCCCAGGAGTTGCACTCACTGCCAATCTGTAATAACCAAAAATAACCAAACAGCAGGAATTCCTCCCAGAACCTATAGCCAAAATAAACAGAGAGAGGCATGTCTAAATTTCCTTCCAAATTGACAAAGCCAAAGCCACCTGACCTATTAAAAGATACCTCATGTTGGATGGCTCCTTATCATTTGTCTAGCATTGATTTTACTATCTCATGTATTTCTTATATCACTCCTATGAGAGAAACATTATAGTTACTTATGGATAAGGAAACTCAAGTACCAACCAAGAAACCAACTTGGCCTTGGGTCACTCAGATAACTCACAGCTGAGTACTGCCTCCAAAATTTTCCTCCAGTAAAGACAGCTGTGTAGCCCAACAGCACACTACCCTCTCAAAGAGAGCCTGGATCCTATGCTGGTAGATACGAGGCTTCAAAGGCCGGGGGTACTGCCTCAATTTGGGATACCATCCCAGTTTCAGAGATCCTAATGGTATTGGCTGAGACCTCTGCTGTGATGCCATCTGAGTTCAATTTCACTCTCTGTACAGTCCTGCTCCTTCATTCCCTTACTGCTGTACCCAAGAGCATGCCCCCAAACCCTCTGCACCCCATTCTCCTTCCTAGGGACTCAACCTAAGACAGATGGTCTCAGGAGTGGTCCTTGGAAGCAGAACCTAAAAGGAGATATTGAAACTGGTCACTCATTGACAGTCTGGCCATGAGTGGAGCTGCTGCTCATAAAAGAATAAAATCTAGTCATATTCTACTTATGGAAGATAATGGTGTAACTATAACAGGTTCCTTTTATTTAGAAACTGTACTGTGTATTTTCTTCCACAGTTTTACTTTCAACCATCCTGTATGTTTGTGTTTTTTAAATGTCCCTTAAAAGCAGAATATAGGGTATTTATTTCCTAATCCAGTTTTGTAGTCTTTGCTTTTATTAAAGTATTTGTTACATTTGGATTTAATACCATTACTGACATGTAGTTGTTCATAGCTACCATCTTAATATCTCTATTCTGTTTGTTCTGTACTTGTCTTTCTCTTTTATCTTCTTTTGGATCAACTAAATATTTCTAAACCATTTTCTTCTCCTATGTGTAGTTTATATATTTTCTTTCATCCTCATTGAACTAGTGAACTGTTACCTGTGATCACAGTCTGACTACTTAATTTATTAAAGACTTAGTTACGTGTTTTATCTCTTTTTAACCATTTCTCAGAGAGTGAACATTTTTATGTTTGTGTGTGTGTGTGTGTATTTCTGAATGTATTTTAAGGCCTCGTAAGACTATCATTGTTGTTTAAAAGATAATTTACATTTACCTGAAATTTCTCCTTTCTGATATACTCCTTCCTTCTTCCCCTCCAACATTTCATCTATCATCATTACTTTTTGCCTGATAAACTCCCTTTAGAATTTCCTGTGCTGTATAGGTTTATTGCTGATTAATTTTCACTTTTTGTTTCTATTAAAATATCTTTGTCTTTCCTTCTGAAGAATATTTCCATTTGGTATAGAATTCTGTGCTGGTAATTATTTTCTTGCAGCACTCTGAAGATATAATTCCCTTGTCTTCTGCAAAGCCAATTGTCAGCTCATTGTTGTCCTTTGAAGTAATGCCTTCAACCAGATTTTTTTGTTTCACATTTCTACAAAACACTTTTGCTTGTTTTACAACCCTGTTTACTTGTTCTTCAGTTGTCCAAAGAAGCCAGATCACCATTTCTGGAAGCAGAACTCTATCAAATAGCGTATTGCTAAAAGAAATAAAGAAAAAACTTGTTTTTGAACCCCAAAATAGCAGAAAGCATTGTCTAAGAAGACCCAAATATGTTAAATAGGAGACAGAAAGTTAGGAACATCACCTAAAGAGGAAGAGAAGTTTAAGAGATACAAATGATGATTCCTAGAAGACAAATATAAAATATTCAACCTATACATGATAGGAATTTCAAGATAAGATGAACAGAAGAGAAGGAACAATTAAAAAGGTAAAAGCTAATCAAGGAAAGATTTTTATTCACTGGGGAAAAAAAAACCTGAGTTTGCAAATCAAAGATTAAAAAGTTCAGAGTTTTAGGAATAATTAATGAGAAAAATGTATATTTAGATGTATTCTGATGAAATCCTGAACTTGGTGTTTGGAAATAAAGAAAAACCTTATATGCACAAAGAGAGAAAATGCAGTTTTTTGTAAATGGTGTGGAAAGAATGATTATTTCATGAAGTTATCACTCATTGTTTTCTTACATAAAAGACACTAAACTTTAGGTTCATTTGCATCTTTACAATAATAAAAGCCTATACTTTTAAATTGGCACTAAAGTGCATCGAAAGCTTCTTTCGATTGATAACTACTGCTTGGCATCAATTTAGTGGTTGTGGTTGAGGAGAGCTATCATCTTCTTTGTTGTCAAGTTCAGTGTGGGAAGCTTAGGGATAATGCCTTCATCTACCACAATCTATGATGATTTCATATTGTTCTCAATGTCCTTATCATGCTTTGTACTTTCTAGTCATGATTGTGCATCACAGATCCTAGTTCCAAAACAAAGATAATATATATATATTTTTTATTTTAAAAGGTACATGAGGACATTTAAGTAAGATAAAGGAAGACAAGCAAAGTAATAAAAGATAACAATTGAAGACATTTGTGAAAAGGGACTTCATTTTGGCTGGAAATGGAAAGAAGAAAAATCATATGTTTATAAACAAACACTGAATAAAGCACAATTTCAGCACAAATTTCAGTTGATTCAACTGATAAGTTTCAGTTGGTTGGTAATTAATTAAAGTTGGGAAAAGAAGCAATGTTTTATAAAGCGGTAAATCTTATTTTTAAAAATGTTATATGGACTCCCACAGACTTAGGAAACTATCACACACCCCTCCTTCTCTGTCTGACAGCCTTGGAAAAACCATGGGGCTGAATGACAGTAGCATTTGTTTTCAACACTATGGCAGACCACCCCTTCCTTCATCCACATAGAAACCCTATACCACTTGTTTCCTGGAATACATAAAGTGCAAAGTTTTCCATATACTCTGCATATTTTCTTCCTTCTAGGTAATCTCTCTCTCTCACACACACACACACACATACACTGCACACAAAAGATAAATACATACAGACCTGGAATCCTGCTGATTCCCTTGTAAATACATATGGCAACAAAGATCCAACAATACTTTCCCAAGTCTTCAGATAAACAACATTCCAGTAAAAGAAACCATCCTTCACTGACTAAAATAAATGTATACAGGGAACACTTCAGGAGTATGTAATCTCAGTTCAAGAAACCTTGCTCTCAATAATTTCTGTTAAAGAAGCTAGGAAATAATGCTAAAAATAAAGGCTAAAGGATAAGAAGATTGAAACATCACTGCATAGGTTTAAGACCTTAATAATTAAGAACAGCAATGCTGGAATGAAACTGCTTAGGTATGCATTTCAGCTCTGCAATGGACATTCTCTCATTTTTGACACTGATCGATAGAGAGAAAGAGCTTTAAATGTGGTATAAAAAGTAAAAAATAACCACTAGTACAATAAAAATAGAATGTAGACTTCCCAACTGCCCAGAGGAAGAAAACAAGCCAACACACTGAGTCCAAATAGGAATCCAAGAAAGGAAAAGAAAGAAACTGGCAAGTCTGAAGAACGCAAAAGCTAAAACAAGTAATGCAGAACGAAGTCTCTTCCTGATCCTCCTCCCACTTCCCCCACCTTCCACTCCTGATTTCTAGAAAATGCCAATTCCTTTCCTGCTTCTTGTTACATATCTAGGCAACGAGGAGAAAAGTCAACATTTGGTATTGCATCTAAATAGGGTCCTCTTAGCACAACCGTGCACAGGACATATGCACTGTAATGTGTCTGAGTAATAAGTCTCATTGCTTTGCCGCTTCCCCTCCCACAGAATCCAAAATGCAGCCACCCACCGGCTACACACAATCCCAACCCTATCTAAAATAGAAACAGATTGGACTGAATAATAATTCCCCTGAGGCTGAGGAGAAAACGGGCCAGTGGTAGCTGGGAGGTGTGAAGAGAAAGCAGAGATCAGAAGAACAGAGGTTTTGTATCTCCTAATAACCGTGAAAGGGGAAGCCACTTAAGGCAGCTCAAAACTTGAACCTGAAAAGTGGGATGCATGAGATGAACAGGAACAGAGAAAGCCGCCCCTAAATTCTACTGGATTCTGTGTGGGCTGGAGTGTCTATCTCAAGACTAACATGCTATTTTATGCATTCCTCTGAATCCTGTGAGCACTTGGTCAGCTAAGAGTAAGGGCCTTTAATATTGAAAAGTTCCATGCCTCCTAGCTACTAGAAAGGGCAAAAAAAAAAAAATTCTCAAAATTACACAAAGGGGAATTTTCCTGATGAACCAGACTGAATCTCTGTGAAGAATATATTTTTTCATTTACCTATAGGCCTCTGAAGAGAGGTTGGTTTCTTAGTAACTATGCACCCCCAGTACTTCCACATAGCACATTCTCTGACCACTTATTCAAATGTTCAACAATTTGTTATTCAACTACACAGAGTAGAGAGTCTTCCAGTAACCAAGGAAACCGGCTTAGAGCGTCCAGCTCTCTCGGGTGTTAAATGGTGTGCTATCCATCTTGAGCCTCTCCTTTGGGTCAGCTTGACCTGTGCTAAATTCCTGATACTTCTTTTCTGTGTTAGTGACAAATCTTTATCCTCAGAAGGCACCACTAAACATGATGCCAGTGCCTTGGTATCTTTGTTTTCTCCACTTTCAATGCACTCCATAATATCAGGAAAACCAAGAGGAAATGAAATGCTTCCTTATATAAGATGCTGTGTATGGCCCTGATAGTAAGCCTCTCCACAGAAGGCAACGTCAGTAGTCCCTATGAATCATAGCTTCCAACTTATGTGTCCTAGGCACAGCTACAGTTTGCTCTAGAGTTGTCAAATCAAACCTTTTGAATCTATGTTAGATTTTAAAACCTATTCATCATGATGTAATATTTGGTATTCTGGATTGGATCCTGAAAGACAAAAAGGACATTTAATAGAAAAGTCGATGGAATCTGAATGAAGTCTAAAATTCAATTAAAGTAAAGTAGCATTTGTGTTTGGATGTACCATGGTAATAAAAGGTATAAGATTTAGGAGAACTGGATTTTGGGTATACAGGAACTCTCTACATTATCTTTGTGTTCAACTTTTCTATAAATCTAAGACTATTCCCAATTAAACATTTATTTTTAAAAAAAATCTCTTTACTTACCAATTAAAGTTGCCTTCAAGAAGTAGGCAGTTGGAGCCCTGGGTAGCAATTAGACAAAACAGCTAAAATAAGCCGCTGCCTTGCATACACCAAAAGTCTCTGCAGGAAAGAGCAGCTAGCAGCACTGATACCTCTTCTGGGGAAGATCAAGACTTAGTTTACACTAACTCTTACATCAACATTTTACAGTATTCTGTTTTTAAACAAATTAACTTTCTTCTAGTAACAGAGACTGGACTGTTATGTGACAATTTTTTTTATGTTCAAATATTCTTAAGGAGCAAAATTAACACTCCAGAGGGATGGAACCCATTCACCAGACCTCTATTCACGAATGAGATCTCCAGTAGCCATTTCACATTGCATGCCCACTAACAGGACTCTGAGTCGTGGCCAACACAACACAAAGACCAAATCTGTTTATAAAATGATCAATGTAATGGGTTAAATTTCCTCATTAAATCATAAAAACTCTTGAGACCAAAAACAATGACAAACTAAATATATTTTATAAGGAAACACACACACATACACAGAAGGACTTCTGGATGAAAATGGCATAATGAGTTCATACTTTGAAAACTGTCTCTGATATTTAAATGACTGAAGACCAATATAAAATGGGAAAATCAAACACTTAACAGTTAAATATCATGATGTACTAGAAATGGACAGATAAGAAAAATGATCAGTGGGAAGTGAATTCACAGAATGGTTGGGCTTTGGGCCAGAAGCTGAAGGTGGGAATAAAGGAAACTGTAAGAGCGCCAGATAAAACCAATGCCAGCCTCACTTTCTGAAACCAGAGTCTAGGTTTTGGCTGCACCAAGTCCTAAAGAAAGCTTAAAAGTTAATAAGTAATAAAAACATAAAACAAACAAAAAACTCTTGTAAAATGCTGCCTAGAATTATAGTCCAAATTAGGGATGCAGAGGACATAGAAGAGCCTCTTGATAAGTACCTAAGGCCAACAATCTTCCTCTCCCCCACCATTCTGACTGTATTCAGGATCCCCAACATCATCTCAGGAAACTAGCATTAAAAAAAAAAAAAAAAAAAAGAAACCTATAAGACCTGGTTCTGGGTTAGGGTTAAATAGGATCAGTGAGAGCAGCAGCAAAACCACTCCTCAAAGACAGATAAAAAAAGCAAGTAAGAGATAAAATCTCCCACTGAAAATAAGTTTATCCACCCCTTTAAATTGTCTTTAAAATATGTGAGAAGGGCAGAATTCTAAGATGACCCTGAAGATTCCCATCTCCTGATGTATACACCTCATGTAATTCCCTCCATCTGACTGACAGAAGAACCTGAGAATATGATGAGTGGCACTCTAGTGACTAGGTTACATTATATGACAAAGGTGGAGGGATTTTGTAGATGTAGTTAAGGTCCCTAATCAGTTGATTTTGAGACACTCAAAAGTAAGATTATCCTAGATAGGCCTAACATAATTATGTGAGCTCTTTAAAAAAAAAGTCAGAGGTGCTTTCTCCTGTTGGCCTTTAAGAAGCAAGCCACCATGTGCTCTACGGCTGCAAGAAAATAAATTAAGCCAACAACTAACTGCTTGAGCTTGAGAAAAGATTCTAAGCCTCAGAGGAGCCCTCATCTGGTACCCTGATCATAAGGCTCTCTCCTAACTTGTGCCTGGGCTTCTGAAATATGGAAAGTGGAAGTATGAGATAATAAATAAATGATGTTTTAAGCTGCTAAGTCTGTAGTGATTTGTTACATAAGAATAAAATACTAATAGAAATTCCAGTGCTAGGATAGGCAACCAACAAAATCAATAACTGATACAGGAATTCACTCCATATCTCATTTTAAAAATCCAACAAAAATTTAAAATAAATATATTTTAAGTATCCAATGAGATAAACAAAGGTATCACTTTAAAAGAAAAGAAAAAGAATGATAAAGAAACAGACACAACATAAAGACATTTAAATTTTAAAATTAAGATGTTGGAAATATAAAATATAGCAACTGGAATGAGAAATTCCAATGTATGGGATAAACAGTCAAACTGAGAATTAATAAGTAGGAAGACAGTATTAAGAAACTCACTAAAATGCAGAGCAGAATCAAAGACATTTATGAAAACATGAAAGAAACCAAGATTAAAAATTATTTGTGAGTTGATAATAGAAGGCTATACTCCAAACTTTAAAACAATATTAATAATATGGTAAGGAATATTTAACACATAATTAAAGTATAATGAGGTCCTTGTAGTCAAGAGAAATAAGAAATAATGAATAAATGTAGACAGGATTCTAACTAATATAAACAGACTATATAACCAGAAAGTAATTCCAAACATAAAACACCTAGGAAATGATGGATAAAATTTAAAATATGAGCTCATTACTGGCCTCCCAACAAGAAGGATAAGATGCCAGACTCTAGCACAGAACAGAGGAACGAGTATAAAGACTCAGGGAGAGAGTATTGGAATAATACTGCCATGTGCAATCTGCTCAGCCACCTCCAGCCACATCTCTTGTTGGGCCAGAGGACATCTCCTTCACCAAGGTATTAAGAAATGCATTGGTGTGGGGAAGACCAACATCCTCAAAAAGCTTTACGGAAGCTGTTCTCCATAGGCTAGAGATGATAGTGGCAGATGCCATCATAAAATTGGGCTCCCTGGTTTTATTTCCAGATGGACAGAAACCAGGTAGCACTGTTATTAGAAACTTGCTGCGTGCAATTACCATAATAAGCCAGTGGGGTAGAGCAGTAATCAAAGTCTCTTAACCTAAAATGATCTCTGGTGGTAGCTAATTGAGTACAAAACCCTAGGAATAAAATAGATGGGCAGCCATTAAAATACTGCTCGACATGGAAAAATGGAAAAATTCTAGGTCCTGTGACAGAAACCTGATGTGAGTCACTGTAGTGGGGATAAAGGATCACTTATGAAACTTAAGCCAGCTCTTGAACCCAGAGTCTCTC